TTAGTTGGATAGTCCATTCATAGAGGAAGGTTTTAGGCTATAAAACATTACGCTGCGACCGACAGTTTTGTTTTTAATTGAGGGCGAACGGAGTCGCAGGCGACAGCTTGTTATAGATATAATATAAATGCGAATATTTAGATGGATGAATGGTTGTTTATTTGAAGGTCTCTCCATAACGGCCCAACGGATCTTTATGAAATTCGGCATGGATGTAAAATATAGTCTGGAAGAACACATAGGCTACTTCTTAATTTTTTTTTAATTCCGCGCGTTGGGTGAGCCGCGGGCGATAGTTAGTAATTTTATTGAAGTTTGGTTATTCCTGGTTAGAGATACTTACATTATATATCTTTCATTAAATAACATTTATGATTTCTAATTCATACAGTACGGTTCAGAATGAAATTAATACAAGCTTCGTAGGACAATTCTCCAATGAAATTTATTCTGTAATAAGTAATCTTGAAACATAAAATAACTACTTTGTAAAAAAAAGTAAATCCGATTAGAATTTTTTATAACTTTTTATCACGTTATATGAGAAAATATTTATTTATTGTTATTAAATGTTTGAAATAGCTTACGCGACTATGAAATCTTAAAGTAGTTTCTGCCAAGATTGTGTCTGGAAAAAAGCTTTTGTTATTTCCAGCACATTTCATTTGTTACATTTCATAGCGGCTGCATTCCTGCGTTGTGATAGACGTCTCGATGTTATTAACTTCTTATGTAACGGTCTACTATTTTCTCTTTTTATTGTTGTTTTTTTTATATTAAAAAAAGGAATGTATTTAGCATTGGGTAATCTTGACACAAGCACTTTTTGGAGAAACAATTAAAATAAAACAATTAAGAACGCTCAATATTCTTGACAAGACTTGGTATAAATTGGTTCAACATCGTAAGCTTTAGAAGCATCAAAATCCAATGTTAATGGTTACGTACGGACGTACGATCATGTGTTCAAAGGTTCGAATCCCTGGTATTTAAATATCGTTAGTATTCAAATATTTAATCATTTGACATATTCATTAGTAAGTCAAAGACATCGTTATTCGTTCAGATTTTCACCGCGACATATTGAAACCATCAAGACGTACGTGAAGAGTTCCAAAGTCTTAACTTTTTCATTGACATCGTTTATGTATTAACATAAATTTACTTACTCGTACATTTAACAAATCAAACTGGAAAATAAATTATTTTATATTTATATTTTTTACTACCAATAATGTTATACAAAGCAAAGTATCAATAAAATCGGAACTCTATGAATCGCGTAATAATTAAACCTGAGGAATAACGAACGTATTCATGTATTTCTATTTGAAAACGTTATAAAACCAAAGCGAACATGATTCAATATACGTATAAATTGTATCATTCACTCATGCTCACAATTATTTAGAAAAAATTTAAATTTATTTAAACTGAACTCAATTTTTTCACGCGACTTCATCCGTGCATAATAAAAAAACAGAATGGATAGTAAGTACTATATATTATTTTAAAACAATGTTCTATACCTGTGTCTTTGAATAAGATATGCAGAACAGTCGTAGATTTATCGAGTAAATAAGTTAATCAAACGTATCCGGGAACCGCATACATTTCCGAGTAGTCTATATGTTATTCCATACTACGTTCTACATGTATACCAAATTTCGTTATGATCTTACTGTTCTAGAGATACCTAGTTGCAAAGGCCGGCAACGTATCTGCGGTACCTCTGGTCTTGCAGATTTCTATGGGCGTCGATGAACACCCCGGTGTTCCAAAAAAAAAACATTTGCATGTATTTCTATCTACTAAGTTAAAAGCTTACTATACTTTTACGTTTAAATATTATGAATTAATATTTTTTTTATATGATACGGTGGCAAACGAGCGAGCGGCCACCCGAAATCGCTGAAATAGTAAAGTGACCGCTGCCCATAGACATACGCAGTCGTATATGCGTTGCCTACCTTTAATCGACGGAGTAGAGGATGCACAGGAAGAAAATATCTTCCCTTTCCTTGCATCCTCTCATCCGGAAAGTCCAGTTCCACTTTTCATCCTTTCCTTATAAAGAAAAGGATGGGAAGGGAAAGAGGACTAAATTAGGCATTATAATAATATGCATTGTATTTTTTTTAAAGCATAAGTTGAAATATATAAGGGAAATAATTTAATCAACAACAGCGAGTTGGGGCCACATTTCATGTTGATTATATAAATGGACCGCTCCACCACCTAATGTATAATTTGTCTGCGTCGTATTCCATGTTCCGGCGCTTTGTTACCTTCATATGCCTTTTGCTTTATATGTGAATATATTTATACTATTGTTGTTTAGTAAATTTTAATAATTTGAAGGTGTAGAAAATTAACCCAGATAATAAATATTTATACAAAACTTTATAAACAATTAATTATAAATCTCGAGAAATAATTAATCAATTTAATTAGTCTATAAAGTAGTAAATTCTTTCGTTGAAAGTGAAACCTAATTTTTAAATTGTGCGTATAACTGCAATAAAAAGAGGTAATTAGTAAGTTAGAATATTGTTTGATTTACGTTAAAATATATTTATATATTTTAAATATAAAAACATTTTATTTCAATTAAAAAACTCTTTGAAAGTGTCACCTATGCGTAATAAAGTTTAGTTAGATAAGTTGCGACATTGATAAATTGCTTGTTAGCTAACGGTAGGATCCTATCAGTTCAGGAAGTTACAGCGATGACCTTGAGCTTCCTATCCTTTTACTGTCGAATTATACGAATCCTTGTAACGTATTGAGATAAAAAAATTATAAATATTTTACTTTACATTTTACTAAACATTTGGATGGATAGATGTTTGTTCGAAAGTATCTCCAGAATCGCTTAGTTTGGCATAGTTGTATGGTAGATAGATACAATATAAATATTTTAATTCCGCCCGGACAGAGCCGCGGGCGACAGCTATACACTGTAATATCTTGAAGCGATATACTGTAAATTTACTTTGTTTTAAATTATTCTAGCTGAAATACATGTAAATTTTTTATTGAGGAGAACTTTTAAAAAGCGACTTTGACACTAACAAGATTAGTCGTTTGATTCCAGTTCAGTGAGCAATTGCTCGAGTTCGCTTTGCCCTTGTTAACTGTGAAAGTTACAAGTGTCAACAAAACACGTCTAACGTGACACGGCGATGTTATCTAAAACTAGTTGGGACACAAATGGCTTGGGAATTAACATTTGTTTTATCCTTTATTCTTATTTATAAAAATAAAAAACTTTTAACACCACGTTCATTTGCAAGTAAATAAACCAAACTTCAGACATACGAGTATCTTTGAATTTCCTCCCAGATATATGCAGGTTGCATCATGATGTTTTCCTTCACCGTAAGAACGTCGGATAAATGTGATACATATGTGAATCAAAAATCTAAAAACACATTGGTACAAAGATTCGAATCCAAGACCTGCAAGTCAAGTGCTTTAACAATAAAGCCATAGACGTTCAAGAAAAAAATGTTATCTAAATATTTACATATTCAACATATTTAAGTACTAATAGAAATTTTCAAAATTCATAAAAGGTTATTATTTATTACCTAACGTACCTTTATCATTGATCCTAAGTATCTTAAGATAGCTTAAAGGGAAACTACAAATTGTTAGAGGTCGAATTTACATTTGACCTCTTTTTGTCAGACTAAACTCGGTCCATAATGAAATGGCGGACAAACCAGACCGCCATCTGAATTGTAAATGTTATTATTTCCGTACCGTCTTCCTTTACTAAAGTTTTACTGTCCGCTCTCTTAAATCTTTTGGAAGTACGATAGAGTATATATCTACCTATAATACTATTATATGATTGAAAAATTTCAAAGTACTTAAACGAAATTTTGCAGGTGAGATATTTTAATATATTTATAGATTTGAATTTTAAAGGAAAATGATCACGTTTGATAATATTCCTATGCAAGAGAAGCTTTACCAAACTAAAGCTTAAAAAATTGGCCAATTTCCCTAGTCATATTTTTTTTATTTTGGTAATTGTGTTTCTATTCAATTCAGAAACAACATACAACCTTATGTAAAACGTTAATTACATGTAAGCTATAATTTTCAAGCACATAACAGTTTTTAACCTTGTCCTTTAATAATATTCACGTGACAAAAATATTTTAAATGGCTGTATAATTTAAATTCGTCAACATTATTTCGTGCCCTACATTTGACAACGCACCTGTCCTACTTTCATTAATTTCAATTGTTAAATACGATATATTTGTGTGAGTAAATTAACAAGTAAAATTTAAGTAAGCCCTTTTTTATAATTTTCTATTTTGTTTTTACTTTAATTGATCACTGCTTTTATATTTATGTTAAACTAGATGTTTTAAGCACATATGTACACAATTTTTTAACGTTTATATATTTTTGTTGAATAAAAAGTAAGTATATTAGCATCACAGTTAATTGTAATTAAAGTTCTAACGAGTGTCGCATCGCATCTGCTAATTAATCTAAGGAGATTAGTCACCAAGACGACCGCGCCCGCCTCCCTACTTATTTATAATTATTTGCGAAATAATCTGAATAAAGTTTAGTAGGATTTAATTTTGAATATCAGTGGATTATTATATTAATTAATATAAAAAATATTATTAATTACTGTATACACAGATTTGTTATAATGATATGTAAGTGTATTCCTTAATTAATATTTAAAGCATATAGATAAACAAAGTAAAAAAAAATTTTTTGTACTTAACTTTTTTGAAATTCATTTAAATATAATAATATTGAATTCAGCATTATTTATAAATGTTAAAGTCGCATATATAGGTGTGATATTGGACTCTTCGAGCTATTTAATAGATTTTAATATTAAGACTAAAGTTAAATCTGTCTCAATATATTACTTATATTAGTGCATTTGCGTTGAAGGCAGCTCTACACGGTATTGTTGTGAGGTATCAGTCAGTAAGTCCGCAACCGCGCTACGAGAGGCACGTCTACGGCGTAGCCAGCGGCTACGAAAGTAAACAAATGTGACGCGATCGCTTCAAAATTAATTTGATTTATGAAGGGAAAGCTGTATTAACAAGGTATAATTTAAAACGTTTAGCATTACTATATAATTAAGTCGAGAGTCGTATGTTATATACATAAAAAAGACATTTTATGAACTTTATGATTTCTCTTTATTTGTACACACTTGATTTCTGAGTTTGTTTAATAATTGCTATTTTCCATTCATTTTTGTCGTTTTTAAAGTTCCGTACCTCATAGGAAAAAGCGAAACCCTTATAAGATCACTTTGTTTTGGATAGTTTCAGTTTTTAATTATTTTAACAAAATCATATGAAAGTAATTTTCATCCTGTCTTAACGTCATATGACTTCAAAGTAATATGAATTTTAAACGTAATAAAAGTGCCTGTGATTTATATTTGTTAGATGAAAGCGTGGACCGCACACGAACAAGACACGTCTCTATCATGCTGTCGAACATTACACGTGAAGCATGCTGCATATGCCAGTGCACTCTACACCTTGGTAAGTAAGCGTATAATATATTTAATTTTATTTATTTTTCCACTGATTGACCCATACGTTGCAATGTGAAATAATTAATATTACAACATACTATACATATGCAGTGCAGTAATTTTATGTTAAATGATTTAGAATTTGTAAATTAATTAAGAAAAAGATAAAAGATTGTATGCTTTGAAAAACGTATAGTTCGTATTTTTAGAAGATATTTCTGTCGTATTCCAGTTATTAAGTAGTAACGTTTTATTAAACCTCTTTAGTAAACAAGCCTTCTTATACAATTTCCAAATTAAACTATCAAAAACATATACATAAGTAAAAAATTAAAAAATTAAATAAACAGTATCTGTTAAGTTTCTAAAACCAGACGGGATTAAGTAAATAAATTGCAGACTTAACTTTTCACACCGAAATTGTTCCCATTTGAATAATTACAGCTCCGGGATTTCTGTAATTACAGCAAAGTGCATTCTGGGGAATGCACTTACTTTAAGTTACAAATTTCAAACTTCAAGCAAAGTTTGAAGTCGCACCCGAACGTAGAGATGGCAATCCACGCCGAAACTATAAGAGGTTTGGTTAACTTAGCCTCTATAAATGAATTCTATACTAAGTTATAACTTAAATATTAATTTTCAATGAGTTATACAAAGTTTCTTTGGAAAACAAAAACTTTATCATTCAAATGAAAACAAATATTATTATTAAACAGATAAAGACGTAATAAAGTTCGAAATTTTAATAACTTGCTTACATTAATATATTTAGATATTAAAAAAATTAAAAGATATTTATATTAAAAAAAACAAGCAACACTTTTACAAAGTAAAATTAAACTGCAAATAAATATAATGCTTGTTTGTCACTTATTAATGTCTATAAAACCTTCAAGAGCGTCGGTGGTGCAAAGGTCAAGCACTTGTCTTGCAATCTGCTGATCCTGGTTTCAAATCCCGCCATGTACCAATGTGCTTTTCGATTTCCGATTTACATATGTACATTTAATCGGCGTTCTTACGGTGAAGGAAAACATCGTGACGCAACTTGCACATATCTGAGAAGAAGTTCAAAGATATGTGTAAAGTCAACCACCACTTGGCCAGCGTAGTTGACTATGGCCTAGTCACCCCTAACTTAGGGTAGGCTCCGAGCCCTTTGGTGGGGACATATAGTGAGCTGACGATGGTGAAAACCTTCAAAATAATTATTATTGTTGCTCACTTCACGGCAATGACTGCTGCAAACAATTAGAATATAAACCATAAAAACGTATGTAGGTATATTATAGGTATTATTATATTCATAATATTGTCTTAAAAAGTTACCATTATATTTTATCTGTATAAACATGGAATTGAGATTTTTATTCTTTAAAAGCATAATTTAAACTTTTATTTGTCATTTTCCATTTTGATTCAGACCGCTTGAATTTATATCGTTGAAGTGAGAACACTCACACGATAGTGCACTTAAAATCCGTCCACGTTCATTTTCCCGGATTATCTTTGCCAATTCTCTTTTTATTTTCAGTTGTATGCTATTTTTTTCACTGCGACAAGATGAAAAGCTCTCCTATTTGTTGGAAATTAAACTTATATCAGTTTTAATAACTCTGATTTCTAACAATCTATATCACAACTAATTTTGAGATGTTTACGATATCTAATTAGTGTATTGAGTAATAGTTCTTATGACATAATAATAACAAGGTTTATTTTTGCAGAATATATCGATACTAGTGGTGCTATTGTACAGCTGGAGGATCGGAGTCAACGCGAAAAGATATAAGGAACTAGACGATGTTTATTACGGTTAGAATTAACTTTATATTAGTTTACCGAGAATTTTAAGTGGAGTAACACATGTTAATTATTGCTATCTCTGTTTGTTCAAAGAGAATGAGAGGGATGGTATTATCTTTGTTAAACATTTGTTACGTCTCTGCAAAATTTCCGTGTCTTCTAAATCACTCTTAATATTATTTTAAATTTACATTAGTAGATATTTCACAATAATATAGTTAAAATTTCCAAATAAATTCTTGAAAATATATATACAACTTGCTTTTATTTAATTTATCGTTCTTTTAAAATATTGTTTTTAAAAGACCCACGAAACGAAACCTTTTATTGATGCCGAGCCATTTTACAAGACAGGGGTGTATTTATTATTCCGTTGGGATGAAATTAATTGAGTCGTGTTGTGGCGCGTCAATCAATCCCCTGTCAAATATAATAATTGAGTCGCTCCAGAGTATACAAATTCTCCTCTGTTCAATATATTTTTGTAGAAGTCCTTATTGTTTGAGATCTTAAAAGCAACTCATTTTAATAAAGTATTCGATAGTAAAAGCAGTTCCTTATTTTAATATTATTTAAATATTTTATAATAATTCTTATGAGAAATTTTTGTTTCAGGTGTACAGATAGCATATTTTGCAATAATAGGAACACAGATGTTGATGATTTTACTAAGCATCTTTCTCTTTTATGGAATCTACAAAGTAAGCGTTTTTACATTATTATTCCTACCAGGCGAATAGACTGTAAAAGAGTAAACTTCCTTGATATTAATTCAATTGCTTCTCTCTTCAGTTACAATCAAGTTAAGTGAGACTCCACACTCCACTCCACACTGGTGGAAGCCGATGGCATTTTATCATTCCACATTTAACATTCCCTTTACAATATCTACTTATACTATTATAACTAAACGAGAATTATTATGATACTAACTACAGTCCTACCTGGATGAGTGAAATTCCAAGAGATGATGATATTTTTCTCTATCTCGCTTATGGAAGTCCTCCGTCAAGAGCAGACAATGACTCTCGCTTATAAAGATTTCTCACTTATCCAGGTTCGACAGTATAGGTGTAGATACTAGTGACATCTATATTGGCACATATTGACATCCCTTACATTTTAATTAAATAAAACAGAGACAGCAACATATACAAGGTCACGAAAGTCGAAATCCGTAAACGTAAGAGAAACATTCTTCTTTCGCTTTGCACTCCTTATAAGGAAAGGATGGTATATGGAAGTAAATTTTTCGCATGCGGGGATGCTTGGGAAGGGAAAATATTATCTTTCTGTACATCCTCCGTTGTTAGACAAGCATATGCAATCGCGTATATCTATGGGCAACTGTCGCTTCGCTATTTCAGGTGGCTCGTTTGCCACCTTATAATAAACATAAAAAATATTTAAAGAATAACGATGCTTCTAAAGCAGTCGTAAAGTTCAATGCCTATATTCGATATTTATGAGTATGATATGTCGTTATATTAGAGCTGAGATGAAATGCCTTATTTCCAGTAATTGGCCCTCAACTGTCGTTATTCATCGTACGTTATAATCCAACGGTTTATCGCAAATTGACAATCTTCGATTTATGTTACGAGAATATTACTATGTTATTATTTTTTTACTTACAGAAATATATAGCTTTTAATCGTTTATCGAATGTATTTTGTGTTTTTATTATAAATATGCATATTTAATATTTTTTAAGGAAAACATAGCATTCTTGGTGCCGTGGGTTGTTGGTTGCATGACATTCATGGCTTTGGAGTCAATGGCTATGGTATACTCTAATATTCTTAGAGATCACGTTAATAAGGTAAGAAGTTTATCTTTCTAATATTATATATGCGAATGTTTGAATGGATGGATGTTTCTTTAAAGTTAACTCGGGAACAACTGTATGTATCTTAATGAAATTTGGCCCAGATGTAGAGCATAGTCTGGAAGAATACATAGGCTAATATTTTTTTTAATACCACGCGGACGGAGTCGCGGACGACAGATAGTATACAGATATCGTTTACCACTAAATAGTGACAAATTCCGTTTCACACACTATCTAATTGCCAAATAATATAGGTAGAACTACGAGATAGAGTTACGCAAGCGTCTTTAATTTCTGAATCATGTCATCATGTTACATCAAATTTATAAAAAATCTTTAATACGATTAACAAAGTGCTCATGGACTTGTCTTTTCATCTAACGGCATTCAAACATTGACTCCTCGTGTTTACCAGAGTTAACGATATTATAAAAAGCTAAATCAACAGCACGTGTCTGCCATGTTTCTGTTAAATCAACACGTTTGCACGAACAAACGGAAACTCGACTGTTTACAATATCTGTTTTATGCAGCCACAAAACCCGTGTGACAAAAGCCTCTTTAATTAACAAAGGACTTAAATTAATAACAATTCACGGAAAACAGGTGACTTGGGGAAACAAAATACGACCGCGAAAAGTAATTATTTTTAATTAATTTACTTTTACACTCACAGATGTTAATTGGCTACTTCAGTATGATAAATTGTCACTTAAGTACTGTCTAAGTAACCATTAAGTGACTGCAGTTAATATAATATTACAAATGTGTCATTAAATTATTTAAACTGTCGTGAGACGTTATCATAAAATAATATAACAGCTAAAACACTCACGTATGTACGTGGGGTGTCGCCATCGTTACCGTTTTGGCCTTTTATATATTAATTTACATTCATGCCATAAAATATTTTGCGGTCAAAGTTTAGTTCAGGTTCCGAGATGTTAATAGTAAATACATTTTAATAAAATGAAAAAGCATTTTCAATATCTTTAAAGTGATTGATTAAAAATACAACTGCTATCTTCTATCAATAAAGTTGTAAGGGTCCTCGAAACATTTTATTAAAATAGGAACAACGGTAACGGAATTTTATTAGCACGTTTCAAGAGTTTCAGCATTTTACAAGCAATCATCTAAACAGGAAAATCCATTCAGTAATACATTATTTATTATATTATAATAAAATATGTGCATAGTGAGAATGTGTGACGTGCAATGGAGTACATATGTACACATAAAAAATTGTAAAAAACGGAAAAAAATCCAAATATGTAGTTATTTTTGGGCATGCAGACTGACTTATATTTTACATTTAAAAATAATTTGTACACAAGTACACCATTATTTAAAATAATAACCTTGAAATATTGTTCATTGAACCAAGAAATAATTATTCCACCTTGAACCTTACAAGTGCCGCCTTGAACAACAATAAAGTTCCGTGAAATCAGTACAAAGTAGACATTGAACGTAAAATCGATATATTATATTCGGTACATTGTGACTTATACATTAATATGATTTTTTTTTCAGCAATTTGATGCCATGTGTAAAGCCGAGATATCGTTCTTAATACCACGAATTCTGTTTAATGTAAGTAGTACTTACGTTCACTGGTTTCTAAAAAAGGTGACGCAGAGATATATTACGAATGACTGTTATGTATTCGATACACAATACTAAGTCTTTATCCTATTGAATGTAGGGTCAACATAACATATTTTCATCTTCCAAATCAATCATGCGTCACTTCACGTCACTCCCTTTTTTATTCCGTCACCTTCCAATCAATCTATTCCTCTCTCTTAAGCCTGTCTTTACCATACCCAAAATTCATACTTAAAGCTTTTGTTGTCATATACCATTCTTAACTCCTTACTTCTTTACTCAGCCCTATCCGAGGTCCCTTCTCGGGGGCCCTTGGATCCCTTCCATGGAGTATCCACCAAAGCAACCTAGATTGCCTGCCGGATTGTGGAGCTCTTGCTCAGGAGCCTCCCTAACCGGTAATAATATCTAAGTAACAACCCGAAATGACGCTCGTTAGGGAGCATTGGAGCCTAGTTACTTTTAAACGAGGTTTAAGCTTACCGCCATCTGCGCTCGGTCACCGTAAGCCCGATAAAGCTGTAAATAACACTCTAAAAAGCCACGCTTCGTGCCATACCCATGATAACTCTTTGTCCCTTTTTCAGTGTTTATGCATATGGTGCGTGCTGCGATTGTACCACTTATTGCGAGCTGGAGTGACTTGGAAAGGTTCTGCGCCTATAGAACTGTGACTATTACCGCCCGGCGCTAGTTTACATTCCAAATCTATGGACTCTACTGAGCGACGAGACTCCGTTGCGTGTGAATCGACTCTTTTGCTCGGAGGAATTGAAAGTGATACAGACGCAAGTTTACATTCCCTATGACGATGTATTAAGGTTTTAAGTTCAATATAATCCTAACCTTAAAAAATAATTAATTTATTAATAGGGTTTTTTGCTGTATTTTTATTTGAAAGCTGTTTAGAATGTAAATAATAAAGGCAAGTAGATTCAAATATATTTTTACATCTTTTAATATTTAAGTCGTTCTTACTCGTCTTAAATTCTGTGCATAAAAATTTCTGTACTTCTAATCCGAGATGACATTTCTAAAACTTTTTTTGTTCATCGGTGATTTTTTAAACTGTTATTTGCACCAGTTTTAAAGAAATCTTGACAAATAATTTAGAATCCATGTAAATACAAAGAAATAACGACAATAAATAAATGATGATCTTTAACTACTGATATCGTAAATATTTATTAATTTTGCAATTGTTAAAAATAAAATAATTATAAAATAGTAATTCAATTTTATCTTCTTCTATAGCACTGGAAAATAAATTCAATTGTATTAAAATCTTTCTCAGTCATTTATTAATGCATACAGATTACGTGACACAATTTTTTTTAACGTGATATCAATATACTTACAATTTATTTCATGTAAATATTATATATTATAATATTTTTATTGTACATGGTATATAACATAAAGAGATTCATACAATACACATATAACAGAGTAGTAAATATTGAATTGTTAAAACTGTTATTCATTAGATGATATGAAAAATGATAACTTTGTACATAGTAAAATGAATAAATTTTATGTGATAAACGTGATTTTCATTTAAAACACAAGAATCTGTCGGTAATCACACGGTAATCCGTTGGTTTCTGAGACTAAAACTCTATATAATAGACATCATTAACCCTGATAAGTACAGGCTTTGGCTTTGACTAAACAGGGATTTTGGTCTCAAAAACCCACGGTTAAAGTACCAATAAATAGTTGTGTCTAACCAACTAGTACAACGAGATGAGAGGTATTAAAGCACATAATTTTATACTAGAGAGCGTCGGTGGATCAGGGGTCAAGCAATTGACTTGCAAACTGCAGTCCTGGGTTCGAATCCCACCATGTACCAATTTTTTTTTCGATTTCCGATTTTACATATGTACATTTATCCGACGTTCTTACGGTGAAGAAAAACATGGTGATGCAACCTGCACATATATGAGAAGAAATTTAAAGATATGTGTCAACCAACCCGCACTTGGCCAGCGTGGTGGACTATGGCCTAATCACCTTTAACTTAGGGTTGGCTCCGAGCCCCTCGGTGGGGACGTATAGTGAGCTGATGATGAATTTTATACTTATGGGATTTCCCCGTGTGCCGTTCGCATATAGACGAGGACTGGCTAGCATAACATACCATGACAAGCAATATGGATTGTGGTACCATAGACAACCAATTGTAGAGGCGTCATAAAACAATTTATATTTTATTTAAAGCACGTAAAACAGTTTTTTCTCCAGTAGTTGCTATGTGACGTCATTTCATTTTACGTACCACATGAGGCCATAAAATAAGTCTCCAGATCCTAAATGTGTCTGTCAAGCCAAATCTTTATTGCGCTTAACGGAACGTTAAAAGCTCTTTCCACAATTTTAAGAAAAAATTCTGGGTAACGTACGTATTTTTTCATTTTAACAGTGAGTTTTTTCGTATACATATGATATTATAGAGACGAAATAGCTAATAGCTTTATGTTATTAAAGATTCATAATGTGACAGTTAACTTAAACTTGCGTATTATTTGATATTATTTACAAATCTATTTGACTTTAAAGAACACTAGTTACTAATTAAATCTGATTTTCGGTTTATTTTTAATATGCAAAAACAAATACCTAATATAACTATAAATTTTACTTAAACGTTATTTTTTCCACTTTAAGCAAGGAAAGGGGCATAAAACTTTGATAAATTAACTTATATTTCAAAACTTGTTTTCAAGAAGACCAAAGAAATCTTTGTTTTATTCGAGTCTGGAACACTAATATAATCATTTGAAGTTTTTTAATAAAACTTACTTTCTTTTGACCTTCTTTTATTTTCTGATTTACCTGACGTTATCAACTGAACTTTTCAAATAGAATAATATTGACTATTCCTTTCTCGAAGAATAGTCAGCTTACTTTATTAGTTTTTTGAAATGTTATAATGCCTAAAATCTTAAAGAATTAATTAAGAGTTATTCTTGGCGGCATTTCATTAGTAGAAACTAACGGTTACAATAATATTTTTTGAATTGAGACATTCCTTGTATCTGCTGTACGCAACAAACGTGGTAGAAATTTTGCTCAGTGTCTCTTTGTGGAAAACACTTTCAGATAAAGTGTCATATTCATTGGTTCTAGTACTATTAAAAACTTAAACGAAGATCGAATGGATGGATTAAGTGAAGGAGAATATGCGTAAGAAGGGAGTGGATTCGGTTAAGACGGTTGATAGGGATGTATGAGAGGATAGTACATACTATACCCATCCATCGAAGCCAAAGGGGCAAGCCGATGATGATGGTGGAGATAATTGTGATGATGATAATAGTGGTGATGATGATTAGAATTAAAAATGTATTGTTTGCAGTACTACTTGAATAAAGCAATAAAAAACCGACACATGTTTCTGCCATCTCAATGCTAACATCAAGCATTCCACAAAAGACCTCTGCGGGCTTCCCTTTGAATAGAAGCGTTTTCGCGTTTCCGCGGTAAAATTGTATTTACTGAGAGAAAATATTTCGTCTATTTAACATCACTTGAAAAGGGGTCAAAAGCACTGCATGAGAAAACATGTATTCACTAAAATTTTATGTCTTATTGTAGTAAAAGTGGTTTGAACTTAGATAAAATTGAGCAAATATTAACAATTTTATAATATAGTACACGACATCTACAATCTAAAATTTAAAGCCAAATCTCGGACCGTAATATATTTTTCAAGGAAAGAAAGAATGATAAATTGTTTCATTGAAAGATTTTTAATTCGTGATTTATAAAATTAAAAAGAAAAAACATAAGAAAATTTAAAGAATCTCGGTATAAATAGAATAAATGTAAGTATTAACGAATGCCTGCTTTGAATGCACTTGTGGCGTAACGTAAACAACGTGGAGAGCTTTGAGTTTTTAGCAAACAACGATTTCGCAACAGATGTTCTACTTATATAAGCTTTATTTGTTCACTGAAGCAAAACAACCAAATAAGTTTTAAAAAGAAAAAACACAAATTCTTTTCTTTTGGAATCTTTTCTTAACAAAAAAGTAAGAAAGAATCGTTTAGAGTAATTTAATATTACTTCCGCATTCAGAGACAATTTATCACTTTTTCATACTGAAATCTACACTAAGGGCTTCATTAGTGACCTTAAATAAGTTTTTGGACTGTGCGAAATGATAATAAGCTTGGATAAAATACACACTCCTTTGAAATAAGCATCTATGATATGTCTAATCATCTAATCGAAGCAGTCTATTGATTCTGGTTAAATTATTACCTCATTGTTGGTTAGCGACATCTAAAAGTCAAGGGCGGATTTTTTATCATTCAATAGTACAGCGCACGCAAACCCCTTTTACTGACATTGAAACTTCGTACCAAAATAATTTGTTAAAAAAATGTTGCCTAAAAAAACTACGGATATATATCCAAAGTTAATAAAATGTTAATGTTAAATAAGTTAATAAACTGTTAATATTATTAAGTTTTCTATAATTAATTTTGAGCCTTGTTTTCGAAAGTGAGACATTATTTTTGATGATTGTTTCTTAATTGTTGTTATAGCATTGAGTAAAGAGGTGTAATAATTTGTTTAAAAAAAATTACAATTTAAGATTTCTTTTGTAATAAGTTTAAAAATAAATTACGATTTAATATCTTAATTTTTGCTCGCTCCTAACGTTCATTTTATAAACGCTATTAACTAAAGCAGTTTCAAGGAAATTTGCTATGAAAATAATTTTAAAGTTTCCGTCTATTCATGCCGCCCGTGTCGTTCATGCTTATAGGAAGTCCTTCAAAGTTAATCAGATTTTATTTGAGATTATTAAAGTTATAAAATGGCTTATTTCTTAGTAAAACAACCGTAAAGTAAAATCTTTTTAATACAAACATATAAGATACATGAAGATATATTTCGAATAATACTACGAAAGTGAATGTTTCAAATTAATGTGTTTTTTTTTAAATATTAGCAGATTTTTTGTAAATTTACTTATATTTCTTTTACCATTCCAACTAAGCTTGTGCTAGGATATGGTTTACGACAATAGTCGAATGGAGGGATTCGAAACCCCCGACCGGAAAACCGTACCGTTAACTATTAGGCTATTGACGCTTTTAAAATTCAAATTAAAACCAACCATTTATGAACACAATTAGTCTTATTGACTTATGAAATAATTTCAATCCTCAAATATACACATATGATAAAGTTTATATTGCTATTTCCTTTAAAACCAAAGTTTGACTTGATTTCATTTTAATGAACTGACGAAATAATCCTTGTAATTCATCTCAATTAATTTAATATTTAATTTAATTAATAAAATCTAATTTAAAGAATGCATATACTTGCATATGTTTGTCGATATTCACAATTTAAATGCCAAATTATAAATATTCAAAATTAAGAGTTGTTCTTTCAATTTAACTTTCTAATGTTAAAATAATATTAAGTTAAACTTCTCAAAGCCACGGATCCTACAAAACCACAAAACATGTTCTGAATAATTTACTTTTACAACCTTTGCTTTGTTATTCATTTGTTTAAAGAGAAACACGGCTCGCTGCCTGCTACTGCTGGGCTTTGTCATTTTAATAAAGAAATCTTGCGTATTAATATAATTCGTAAAATGCGATTCCTTAAAACTTCCGTTCTGTTGTTTGAACTAATTTACTCTTTAACTCAACATAATGCAACAAACTTCTTAACTTATTTTATTTTTCAAGATTTTTTTCTAGTAAATAATCTAATCCAAACATATTCGGCGCATGAATTCTCAAGTACCTTAAGTGCTAACAT